AACTGTGGAACTTGCGATATCATTCGCCATCCGTCTAATCCTTGTGCCCAGACTTTTGTTTTCTGTGTTATTTGATTGGTTAAATACAGTTCCTTTAAATCTTTCAAGCTTATAGGACCTTTTCGATGATCTCCGTTATTGTAATACCATTCTTTCTCCATCACTAGTTGTTGTTGTGGGCCTGCTTCTATTACATTAGTTTGCGCAGGTACGACCGCTCTAGATGTATGTAAATGAGCCAAAGTTAAGAGATCGACTAATGTGCGTACTCCGTTTTGATCCATTATATCTTTTACGTTTCTTCTATGCAATATTAGTTTATTTATGAACATGACCAATCTGTCACGTTCCATTCTATCCGTACAACGTTCCAACATTCCTACAATATACTTTGTATCCGAAAATGGACCAATTTCTTCGTAATATCGCTCATACACTATAGTCATTGCTTGCAAGCAAAGGCACTTCATTTCAACTTTTGTTGTCAATATGAATCTATGGTACAAGTCGTTAAAAAATTCATACCTGTGATAAAAATAGTAGTTTATTATACAATGCGTATAACATAATATTACAAGGAAATTAAGAAGATAAAAATAATACTGTAACCTGTACTGCAACATAAAAAAAGAAAAAGGATTACAAAATTATGTTACACATACGATTTTCTTATTGGACTGTCTGGACTATCTCTTTCCAACAGAAGCCTCAAGTAATAATCGCCGATTTTCACTTCGTCTGACAGGCACTGATACTGTACTTCAAATTCTCTATGGTTCCAAGCAATCAGAGTTCCACCTGCCAAATCTTTGTCAGAACTGAACGCACGAATTTCATTTTCGAGCGCCGTTCTTAACTCCTCCCGTGTTTTATGATTCCAAATTAAGTTCGGCAGTGAATGGTCCTGATTGAATTTATAATAGAACAAATTCCAATTCGCTTCAGATTTTATTCTCTCTCTACGTTTTCTCAATACTATTGGACGTTCTTTAATTTTTTCTTTCCGTTCAATACCAATTCTGGCGCCCCAGTGTTGAAGAGCGTGCTCGACATGTTTCTCAACTACACGCATTTGACGTTCGATCGCAATCCACTGTGGGCTTTTCTTATTTTTCGATGCATGGTCTATAGCTATCTTTAAATTGTCGCGGTTGTTTAATCGTTCTTCTTCGAGAAACGAATCGGGTACTTTTTCGTTGGAGTCTAAGTAATTTAATAAACCAACAGGCTGTACAAATGCACAATGAACACAAACTTAGATACTTCCATTCTCGTAATTAAATGAAAATGATATAAGCTCAGTCAATAACGTTAATTTACCATAATCCTTTTTAATAGGCCCATAGCTGTAGGATGTCCTGTGACCCAAAGTCCTACAAGATGCCTACACAACTGTCTATGTGTTAATAGTCTACCATCAGTACCGACAGTAAAAAGACTATTTAATAGATGTCTCGGTAAAGCTCCCTCCGCAAGAGCAAGTTCTTGCATTTTTGCTGCGACTTCAGCCGCACCTTCCTCAATAATCGCTCTCATTATTAATCCAGCGCCCTTAACAATAGCTAACGACGGATGTTGGAACAGATTAAAAAGTGACCTTCCTCTTGCAGCAACCATTTCTAAGAGATTGTCGAAATGTTTGCCGTCAGTCGTTTCACTATACGGTACACATAGAGCGAAAGTTAAAAGATCAAGCATGGCAGAAACTACCAGAGCACCTGTGCCATGATTCTGAAATATTTATAGAAACGGTGGCTTCACATCATATATAAAATAATAGTTACTGCTATTAAAAGAAAGAACAGCCAGATTAGCATTGTCACACTTACGATATGATTAACCCACATATCAAGTAAGCTTTCCAAAAATTTATTGTTACTGAGAAGACTACTTTTATTTAGTTGTTCTTGTCTTAAATCACAATCATCATGCATTGGTTGCATGAGAGCACAAATACAATCTATAGCAGCTTGTGTAACACCATAATCTTGCCTTTTTAAAGCTTTCACAACCTTGTGTCCAATAGCTTCTCTAAATCCAGAAAGAGTTGTAAATGCAGTAAAACCAATTTTGCTAGCAACCAATCTCCTTAAGGCATGAAACTGTGCTTCTATTTCAGCATTTGTTTCTAAATCTTTATTAACCAATGCATTTAAAGCACCAAGGAGAACTTTATCTTTATTTTCAGTAAAAAGACCCTGTAAGTAGTTATTCATCACATGGTATATTCGAAGTTGTATTGTTGTTACAGTCCATTCAAGCGGTATAACATCCTAGACAGAAAAAAGAAAATATTTGTTCTATCGAATTAATAATCTATTTCTTAATGTAAACAGAGTTAACTTAGGTTTACAGTTCATAGCTTTTGCACCTATTTAAAAATCACATAATAAAGAGAACAACAAATATTAAAGAATAAAATAATTTTCTATTTTATGAAAAATAGAAAATGTTAGAAAAATTTTTTCTTCTGTAGGTATGTATTTAATTTCTCTCAGTTAAACTAAGACAATTGCAACTTAGTATTTTATTTCATAAATACATTTTCATACAACATAATGAATTACTGCCGCTTCAATGTACTGTATCAATGCTTACTCCTATTTAACAATCATATAAAAAATGAACATTATATATACAATATTAAATATGGCTTACATCTTGTGTAATTGAATAATTAAGCCCACTGTATGGAATGTTTGCATTAAATCTTTCCAAAATTTCAGCAAAACTACGTGAAGTTGGTGGTTGCTGAAGAAACTTAACATGAATTATTTCAACTTCTTCATCAACAGGTAAATTAAAAGGGCCAAGTCTCTTTCCCCTATTTATTGGATACATTCTAACATGAACATCTCTATTACCAGATGCTCTAACACCATCCAATAAGGAAGCTAATAAAGAATCTCTATCTGTTGCTGTATAACTACGTGTTTGACCATTAAGATACTGTACAGTAAATAATTGTGGATTTTCATTGTCACGGATCAAAGCAAAAATATCTGCTAAAGGTCTAAGAGTACAAATATTATATGTCTGAGGATCTCTCTCCAATAAACAAGTATCCGAAAGACAAAGAGTTCTTCTTTGAGGGTCTATGTGCCTAGATGAATATTTGTGAACAGTGAATTCTGACAGACTTGTTATATGTTCATCACCACTAAATGTGCCCAATCTTTGAGCAATAAAATCATCTAATTTGATTGGTTCCTTCAAAACTTTTATACTGATGCCTAAATTGTTTACAGCTGATTCCAGCAGCTTTTTTTTAATTTCTTCCATTTGTTGGGAAGCAAAAAGATGTAAACGTCCAAATCCACCACATACAATTACAAATCCATTAGGATAATCTTTTATTGTAAGAATTCCTTCAAAATCTTTATAACAATAACTTGCTAATACCATATTGGTTGCTGGATCTAATTGGTCAAGACTATATGGTGTCACTTCTAATACAACAGGTAACCTTGTATCAGACCAATGGTGCTTGTAAGCTTGATACCTCTAGAGAAAATGAAGATATTAATTTAATAGACATGCAATACATTAAATTATTTTATTATAATTTCATATGGAATTAATCTAGATTGTTGAATGACATATAATGTATAATATTATGATACAAAGGTTGGTATGTGTATTAGTTACACAGATAACTGACAAATAACTACTAACACATTGCAGTTTATTACGTAGTAACCATATGGCTAAGTTGATAAGAGGTTTGATTATACTTCAGTAGCATCAATTCTTGACAGCATTATATAAAGAATATAACTTACCAAAATTTCTTTAGGTTTCTCAACAAATTGGTTTCTATATTTAAGAGCTTCAGTTAATAAATTAGCTCTATATTCTGAACTAAATTTCATATTGTCAACTTTACGTTCTTTGCGCATTGTTATGCTGAATTCATGAGAACCCAACTGATTTCTATTTGTTGGTTGGACACTTATAAAATCTGAGTATTCCCATTTATTTGTGACTTCTAATGTAATAGGATTATATGTTGTTATACCCATGGAACCAATAGAAAATATACGTTTGTACCTGTTGCACAAATATTAAATAATAGTTTCAGTGCATATTAATATCACATAATTATAATCATTAATATCATTAACAATATTTGTTTAAAATATCTAAGATATGTATAATATTGTAACAATTACAAAATATATTAGTATTTTAAATTAATAAAAAATTATGAAAATTATTTAAATTTTAATATATTAAATTGCACTATACTCATAGATCATAAATTATGGTGTAATGTTGAATGTCAATATAAACTAAACTATTATATTACAGTACTGATATACATGTGTAATGTTAATAGTCAAATCTTTTCACTGCAAGATATACTGTATGAACGGTTTTTATTTATATCATTATAATTGCATTATAAGTCACTTGTATTAGTCTATTGTTCTATTTAAAAAGTACACAGGTAAAAAACATATATGTATAATTTTAAAACAGCAATTTGTTTCTCCTTACAAGTACATTAATGTGCTCTAGATGACATATAATTACTTTATTGTTCATCATAAATTTAATTACAAGTTGTTATATGCTATTATACAAATTTACGAAAATTTTTTGACAAAGCACCAAGAACTGAGAAACGCGCACTTACTTTCCTTTCCATGAGTGTTTGGTGACCAGAAAGCATGCCACATCCTCGTTATCCTTTATCGGCATCATTGTAACATGTCCTGACAATGCAACGTGCGTATTATTTTAAATAATAATTGAACAAAACACTGGTTACTGTTTGTGAAAGACGAATAGCGTAGGAGGGACATTCGCATACGAATTGAAAAGAAATCACACAAAACTCATTTTCAAAATGACAAACATGGGAAACACAAAGTACGTTTTAACCACATACACGATGTTTATGTTTGTCATACAAACGAAAGATATTTAGGCACTATTTAATCGCGTTTCACCCAACAAATGTCATTTTCAACGGCTCCATCGGACTGGGAGCGGCCATGATGCTCGGGGGTGTTAACGAACAGCTGTTTCCAGATGGCAGAATGATCACAGTAGAAAACTTCGTTTTTTATGTACGAAGTACATACGTGTTGTATATACTTTTGTGTTTTTAACTTATGTTAATATACTTTCCTTGTAATAACTTCTTATATTTGTCTTTAAAAAGAAAATAGCGCACATTATAAAGCAACGTAAAAGGTAAAAACCTAATTGTGTTTTAACTGAAAATATTTGTAGAGCTATTAGTTAATTTTCGTTGATATAACCAAACTAACGTTTCAAATTGTAAGCTTGTTTGTACCGATAGCTATTTATTTAATGCTTATATGTCACGCAATAATTGAAAGTAGACGCGAAAGATACTATAATTTAGGCGCGAGCGAGAAAGATTTCCATTAATTTCCTAGTTTTATTTGAAGTAAAAATATGGTATCTAATGTCTTATATACGCGTCTCATTTATTTATATAACTATGATTTGTATTGTTTTTATTTCTATACGCGAAAGTGAAATGTAACATCTAGTTTTAATTCGAATAATAAAATTAATAAGTGTATTTAGGTGTAA